CCATTTTACGTGCAATTTGCGGATTCCTCTTTCGTAGTAGGATTTTGGTTTGTGTGTGAGACAAGTGTGAGACTCAAAAATGGAGGACTGGAGATGCCCCAGTTTGAGCACTTTCTTCAAAAAGAAACCCATTTTGGTGCGAATAGAAAAGTTGTAGAGAATCAAAATTAGGCTTATAGCAAAATTTCCAAAAAAGATACACTTAGTAGTTTCGCTTAAAATGCAACTTTTGTGAAAATTCGTAAATTTGGCATTTCTTGAACACCAGTTTTGAATCGTTCCTGAAAATTTGGATATAAGCTTCATTTTGTTTTTACTCTACAACTTTCCATTGACACCAAAATGGGTTTCTTTTGAAGAAAGTGCTCAAACTGTCACATATGACAAAAGCTCTGCAGTTTTCAATTCACCAACCCAATAATTTAATTCGAAACAAAATTAACACATAAAATCTTATTAAACTTTCCACAGTAATTCTAAATCCAAAAAAACAACGTATCTGATAAAAGGTAAGATAATAAGAAAATGCACCACTCTTTCTTTGTCGGGCTTCACCCGATCTTAATATCGAGAAATTTTTTGGTCTAGTTTATTAATTTTTCAATCAACTCACCACCGAAATTTAATAAATAACGAAAAGTTAGTCTTATGAGATTAGTTAGATGAGTTTTCATTTAAAAACCAATAATTCTAGAGGGTATTCTAGTCGAATCCGATCCAAGGCGAATCTTTCTGTAGCCATCAAACATTTAGACTTTCTTTTTCTTAAAAATTAAAGTTTACAGATATATAAAATGCTTCACTTGCTTTGTTTATTGTTGTTTTTCAATGTGGATTTGCTCAAGTTACTACGGTATCGGCAAATTTGAGTACGGTAGGTGAAAGATTCTAACAAAATTGAACAAGGAACTTGAGTATTAGGTCATCTTCAGCAAATGCAAGTTTGCCAACTTTTGCCAACTGTAGTCTGCAATAGCTTACTGTAGATGTCAATATACTGTCTGAATATTTTAATATATTCAGACGATATATTGAAATCTGAATCTGAATCTGTCTGAAGAAGAAGTATTCAACTGATAAGAATTGAGTGTGTACAGTAGTGTAATTTTACTTATCGGAATTTTCTCATACCTACTACGGTACGGTACTGATTATGAATACAGTAATGTACTGGAATGCACTCTTTAATGATGCAGTACTCTACGAGATCCAATAGAGTTTAAAGAACCATTTTAAGAAAATATAAAGAGTTTCCTGATACGAGTTCCAGGTGCGGCATAAATAATATTGCGCTGAAAGCATCTTTTGGCTTTCCAAGACAATATATTAACCTAAACTGAAAAACAACAATTAATTATAAAATCTACGCGTAATTTTACATAGAATAGAAGATAGAATAACATTTTTTAATGACTTTGACAACCCCAGCCGAGCAGTACCAAAAATGTTGTGAAACGAGGCTGAAAAACAGTTTGGGGTCTCTAAAAAGTCGTCTCTTTCCGTCTTTTTTCCGTCTTTTTCTACATTAATACGTTTTTAGAGTTAATTACGATAAAAATAGGTTTTTCAACTCCATTATTGCAAATGTGAGGTTATCTTGAATAACAGAAATGGGGCAAATTTTTTGACAAATCTCTTTTTCGAGAGCAGCAATCATATTTAAAGTCTTATATGAAACGAATGGCTTTAAATTTTACATAAACTCATAAATCTAGTAAAAATGTCCGTAGATTTTAAATATCTCAACGAGCGAACTGTCAACTCTTTAGGTTTTTGAGAAAATCAGACTTTTGTAGAGCATAACACTATACAGGGTGATCGAAAAGTTCCCGCACAAATAATTCATTTTGTAAATGAAAGTTAAAACAAAATTTCCTGTGCTTTATAGTATTTTGAAGCTAAAATTCTGATGAACACTTCTATAAGTAAATGACTCCAGGAATTCCCAGCCTTTTCAAGAAGCTTTGCATTCGAGGCAAACCGCCGATGAGACAAACATAGTTTTGCATGTTTTTCAGGACTATTTTACTTTTTTATCTTAATGAGAGATTTTATTCTTTTAAAATAACAATCAAACTGTTACTTAAAAGAAAAGTGTACATTTGAAAAAGGCTTTTTAAAGGATTTTTTAATTGAAAACAGGTTCAAAAAGGTGAGCGCGATGACAGTTTGCCTCCAGCGTACTATTAGGTTGTCCAGTTATAAATGCGCGTTTTTGAGGGCTTATTCCAAATATTTCTGCAAGTTCACGTGTAGTTTGTCGAGGATCAATTTCGATCGCCTGTTTAAGTATTGCATTATCGATCGTAGGAGGCCGGTGGTCCTCATCTCCCAAAAATTCATTTCCTTCTCGAAATCGTTGAAACCATCGCCGACACTGGCTTTCCGAAATAACATCTTCCAAAATACTTTCCAAAGGCCTCGATGAGATTCAGCGATATTTTTGCCCAATTTGAAGTCATACCAAAGGCTGGCACGGAGACGAAACTTCGTGTCGTTCTCAGAAATTAAATCTAAACACAGAAATTAAATCAAAAATTGACGTCAAAAACACGAAAAGTTGTAATAAAATAAGAAAAAGAAAAGAAAAGTTGTAATAAAATAAGAAATCCTGGACAGCATATAGAAAATTGGGTTTGATAAAATTGTAAAGCTCTAAGGAATGCTGTTCAAGTTGTTCAGAGCAGGCGTGCATTCATAACTGGACAACCTAATACAATGCTGCTTTGGAGAGCTAGGTGGCTCTGATCAGAATAGTTTAGATGTAGAAATGCTTTCCAGAATTTCAGCTTAAATTACTATATAGTAAGTCCAATTTCAAGCCGGGTTTTGGCTGAAAAATGGAGCTTCTTTTGTAAAGTGTGCGGGAACTTTTGATCACCTTGTATATGCCGCACCGTGTAACATTCAGGTAACAACATCACCATTGCTCCCTCCTCCCATCACTACAAATCCCAACCTGATGACATTTGTTATTGAATGATTGGTTGGTGTTAGAATATCTCTCTTAATTGCATAAAATTAGTCACGGAAACGCAACAACCGTATATCGGCTTTTCGATCACCGGCGGAGTGATCCCATTGGCTCTACAACAAATCGGTTATCTCCATTTGTTAGACAAAATACATTTTGAGTAAGTTTAAAGCTTTAAAGCCTTGAGAAGAAAGCAAATATCAAACAAATCAAATCTAGTTTATCAAAGCTAGTTCAGGTTTATCGTGAATTGCACGGATTGCACTGAGGGTGATGTCACCGGAAAGGCGATCTATTTGATAGCTGAGCGAGCTGTTGATGTGGTCCTTGGCCCAGCTTGTAGCTCAGGTGGTAAATTATTCTTGTGGCTTTGAAAGTTTTTAGGATTCTTGCATGCCGTCAAAATCTACTAGCGATTGCATGAGCATGCCCATCAAAACTCGTTTCAAACGATGTCCTTCGCGAGACTCTGAATTGCATTTAGCGTTTGAAACTTGCTTTTGAAATAAATGAAATTTTGGTGTTTAAGAAAGCTGTTGAACATGTGATTTGAGTTTTAGTGTAGTTTAATCTAAAACCGGGAACAAGTACTATTTCAGGGATCATCCCAGCCGCTTTCGTCAGCAATTACTACCAGACGCCACAGGTCAGCTGCAGCTTTCTTTTAACTTATTTTTGCTTTACAGATAGGCTGGGGTTTTGCTTCACAAGCTACACTCACTGATACAGTGCGATTCCCATTCATCACCACCATTGCCATGAACTATCGACAGTAAGTATTTTGAACTTTCAGAATCGAAAATAAGCTTTCAGACTTGGATACGCGTTTCTCTCAATGTGTCAAATATATGAATGGTTAGAACTGGCAATTGGATAAATAGATAACGAGCTTTAGGGACATTGTGGCTTTGATCACTGGCAGCGCTGGCTATGGAAATTGTGGGAATATGATGGACGATGTTACGGTAGTTGAAAGTATTGTGGGGCACTCCCATTTGCACACAGGCTTTTTAACCTCTAACTCTACAACCTTTTGACCTATTTGGATTATGGGTATCAAAAAAATCTCCACATTTTCTATCATATAAGCTTGAAGAAAACAAAAATGATGAAAAATGATGAATTTTTATGGTCGCAATCCCACTTTTTAGTTTTTGAGAGTAATCCAGTTGTAACTTTTATTCTATTTGAAAGATTTGAATGAAATAACTACCAAAATATAGCTCTCGATGAGTTCTAACAATATCCAAAAGAAAATTTGCAAAAAGAATAGAGCTTTTAGATTTCGGAGCTTTTTAAGTCACTTTTCCAAAAAGTTAAAAGTGGAAAAGTCATCTTTTTGGGCTACTGTTTTCTCATTTTATACCTTTTGCAAATTTTTCTTTTGGGATATTTTTAGAACTCATCGAAAACTATCTTTTGGTAGTTATTTCATTCAAATCTGTCAAATAGAATAAAAGTTACAACTGGAATACTCTCAAAACTAAAAGTGGGATTGGACCATAAAAATTGTTATTTTCATCATTTTTGTCTTCTTTAAGCTTATATGATAGAAAAATGTGCGGAGATTTTTTGGTACCCATATAACCAAATAGGCCAAAAGGTTGTAGAGTTAGAGGTTAAAAAGAGCTTGTGTGTAAATGGGAGTGCTCCAGTATTGTAAATTCTAAATAGTGTCGAACCAAGCTACTTCTTATTAGGCATCTTATAGTAAGTACTGCTGCTAAAACTGATTAAAGTGATAAAAGTGATATGATTTGTTAAATCTAATGCTTGTGCTGAGAATACAGCCATTCAGACAGCTCTCACCGATCCCGATTTCAACACTACGACCATCTCGTCGAGTCTACTATACGATATAACTGGTCCTCGATCGGCAATCGTTACTGTTCTCAAGAAAGTCCAACTAAAAGCAAGAAGTGATTTACGTATCAAGTTCTTACATTATGATTTTTTAGTAATTGCTGTTTGTTTGCCCAACGATCAGTCAAAGAGGGATTTTCTAATTGCAACAGCGGAGGCTGGGATGAATAGGTAAAGGGCGGATAAAGTATTTCACTCTTGCTGCACCAAAATATTCTATTTTCCAATCATTCTCATTGTAAATTTAGCTCTGACTATGTCTATGTCATGCTCAACATGATGGGAACTGGATACGGTCAATTGGGACAAGGCGGTGCAAACACTGTGAAATGTAGGCATTCTAGTTATGACAAATTCTAGGCACTCTAGTTATGACCAATTCTAGGCACTCTAGTTATGCATTCTAGTTATTCTAGTTTCTAGTTATGACTAGTTTTCAGCTTGTTATGTTAACTATATACATAATTAGGTTACACATTTTATTCTTTCGTTACAGTGGCTAACGGATTGACACCCATTTGGTACGATACGGTCAACAATAACAGTGATGGGCTGGATTCGGTAGCTCAACAAGCAGCCAACAATATGCTCGTGGTTGGTAACAAGAGATTACTCTTGTAGTTTACAACTTTCCCTCATCTAAACTAAAGCGTACATTTCATAAGGTCAAGATAGCGAACGAAAGACCCACAAATGTCAAAAAGCACATAAAAACCTGTTTTTCAGAGAATCGCACCAAATATTGTATCCAGGCTGGCCGTATTAGGTCCAACGATTTATCGACCGGTATTAGGTTGGCCGGTATTAAGTTGACCGGTATTAGGTTGGCCGGTATTAGGTTGGCCGGTATTAGGCTGGCCGATAAATCGTTGGACACTTTTTTTCCATAAATAAATGACAAATTCACCATTTGGCCTACAATTGGCTCTAAATAGAAAATATTTATTATTCATTTTTCTATCTTTTTAAAACAGGTCCATTTCCAAACAAATTTGACTTCAAAAACTTATAAAACTCAATAAAAATACAAAGAAGTCAGCGGAACAGATTATCCTGAAAATTTGGCTATATATCTAACTTTTAAAGCTACCTTTATATTTTAGCTTTATCTTTTATATATTGACACCAACATAGGTCATTTTGTGAACCAAAGCGCCTAGATTACGTCTTTGGATTATCGCTTTTTTCAACTACCTGACTTCGTGCCCCCATAAAACCAGAGACAAAATATTTTCATAAAAATTTGAACGTTATTTTGTAGAAAAAAAGTAGACCTTTCCTAATGGAAAAAATCGTAGGTCAATCGGTGAATTCTCTATTTCTAAATAAGCTTTTCAAATGAATTCAAATGAAATGTCCAAAGAATTATCGGCTAACCCAATACACGAACTGATAACAACAACGAGTAATACATTGTATTCTAAGAAAACTTACAATGAAAACAATGAGGATGATGCATCATACCGTAGCTGGAAAGCCTCTTGACTTTAATCTCTCGAGCAATCGTCTTGAAACCACCGATTTATTGATCATCAAGCGTCTGGAAATTCCAATTGGTCGAATTCCCTTCCGGTGTAGCTCGATGATCGAATCTCGGTGAACAGATTTCTTGACCATTCCTAAATGTATCATTTTTTGCAATAATAACATTGAAAGATCATCAAATTACAGAAAAAACAAAATGATCCAGTATAAGCACTATATTTGTCGTTAACTATTAAGTCGTTAGCTATTAAGTCGTTAGCTATTAAGTCGTTAACCAACTGAATTAAGCGCGTGCGTGCTGGTTGCCATAATTCTGCCCCACCCTGTAGGTGCAACATCTTGACTCAAGCTTCATTGAGCGACTAGTGTTGTTTTAGGTGTAGCTTGCCGTAGTTCAATCGGATTGACTCAGTACTTCTAATAGATTTCAAAAGCTTAATGGATGAAGCACTAGAAATGCTTTCAGATAGATACAACAAATGACGGCAGTGTGAACGGTTCAACCACTGCTCAGCTAGCTGCACAGGTTTGCTTCAAACTTTACTTTTTTACTCAAATCTAGGTTCGAGCCAACGTTCGCGGCTCCCCATTCTATTGCAACACCACCGATTGCCTCTTGAACGATCAACGCTACTCGGGGTCAGCGGGAATCCTGTGATTTTTGCATGCGTTTGTTGCCCTGCATGGCCCTGCATGGCCTTCATCTCCCGATTGTCTCTTTTACAGAAATCAATTCAGATTGGCACGTTTGCTCCACAACTCTACGATGCTTTCATGTGGTACGCATATTGTTTAAACGCCTCGATGATGCTTGATCCGATCAATGGAGCAAGGAACATCACAGCCTATAATCAAGTGCAGACTGGTCTTTCGTTTACTGGTTTGTAAAGATTTAATCAAGTAACTAAAGAATTCTAGGATGGACTGGTAAAGTTCAAATGACCCAAAATATCACAAGAGTTCCCACATTTTTCTTTATGGACTCACCAACGGATGGAAAAGTGGCACAATTTGTGAATTTCTCTTGGGATGGCACGTTTGACTACATGGTGTGTTTTAAAGATTGAAAAATTTGGCTCAATCGCAAAACTTACATTAGCAGCTTTACCTAAACCAATTAGCAGAATGGCAACTAGCAAAATTCATACTTTATGCCGTTTTTTCATGAATAGAAAATTCATGCCGTGCTCGGTATGCTCCAGAAAATTCATGCCAAGAAAATTCATGCTCAGTTAGCTTTCACTTTTTCTAAAAAATTAGTAAAAGTGTTTTATGCGATTATAGGATAGCTTTTAGCAGCTTGTGGGAAGTTTTTTAATCCTTTTCGGTTTATTTTATAATCTATCTAACGCTTAAACATAGCACACGCACAAATCAGCAAGTAAATCAAAAAAGCGGAGCGCAACTTCTAGAAAAAATTCACGTATGTCCACTATAGTAATTTTTTAGAAAAAGTGAAAGGTAACTGAGCATGAATTTTCTCGACATGAAGAAATGATTGTGGTACATTTGATACGCGCCGGGTTCCTTTTGCCATTGGCAATCTAACTTTGAGCCCAAATATCTTGGTCTTGGGCTGTTGAATTTAAAGATTCTTGGTATCATTAGATGCGCCAAGTCTTTCTCTGTCGATTGGTACACAACTATTAAAAGAGTACAGTGACACGCCCCTTTTGCCATTGGTAATCTAACTTTGAGTTCCAATACCTTGGTGCTGCGCTATCTAATTTAAATAGTAGTGTACCAATAGATAGAGAAAGACTTGGCGCATCTAATGATGCATCATTAGATGCGGTATCATTAGATACCAAGAATCTTTAAATTGAACAGCCTAACACCAAGATATTTGAGCTCAAAGTTGAATTGCCAATGGTAAAAGGAGTGGGGCGCGTATCAAATGTCCGATAGCATGAAGCATGAACGCCAGCATGAATTTTTTCGACATGAAGGCATAAATTTCATTAGTTGCCTAGCAGGATCAGAACAAGGAAAATTGAATACTGTTCGTTGCTTTCAGACAGCAACTCCAAACTATGCCCTCGCTTCCACCTCAATCTGGGCTATTAGAGGAGGCACACTTCCTTTGGCTGTACCGATTTGCGAGTGAGTTTTTTGGCAAGCAATTCATAGCAGTCAAACCATTCTAGCTTTGATGGAAAGAATTGCCCATTAAACGACTGGCAAAGGAGCGGAATCTACATCACAATTGGTGGAGGAGTGTTACTGCTTTTCTTTACCTTCTTTATCGTCGTAATGTTTTACATTATCCGGTGAGTTCTAGTGCTTAATTTAATCAACTAAAATTATGCTAGAAAAAAAGAGAATAAGGAAGAAATCAATTGAAATAGTTTAGGGAAAAAAGAAGAGAGCGCGCTCGACAGGATGCGGAATGGCAAATCCCATATCTTATGTTGGAAAGATGGGGAAAGGGAAGAGCAAGTCGGGTAGGTTATGGTAATTTTAATTATTTTTATAACTTATTAGACATTTGTGAATGTCAAAACGGAAAAAGATACGGTTCAAGCTATAGCTCTCACGATTATTTACAGCATGAAGAAAAGAGCATGCACTCATTGCAATCATCGAGATCTTCAAATTCTTTCAAATCAAAAGCTTCAATGGGCAGCAAAGCAGAAACAGCTACTATGGCCTATTTTATGATGAAAGGTAAACAAGGTAACGTAAAAATAATCTTACAACAATGTTTTTACTTCAGAAGAACCAGTCTTTGCCTACAAATATCAAGTATTGCCTCGATTGCACCAAGAAGATTACGCAGAGTTTAGACTGGTAAAGTTTCTTTGTAAACTAGCTACTTATAGAAATCTTTTAACTTTCACATTTCAGTTATTGATTTAAAAGTTTAGCTACGCAAACTAGAACATGACAATGTGCATCGTTTCATCGGAATCTGTCACGATCATTCACCGATGATGTCCATCTGGAAATACGCTAGTCGAGGGACTTTAGAGGTTGAAATCTTGAAATGCTAAAGCTGACAAATAACAAGAAAAATCTAGGAAGTCATTTTGAAAGGAACAATCAATTTGGATACTTTCATAGCAATGGCGTTGATGAAAGACTTGGCAGAGGGACTCCACTTCATTCATCGATCTTTCTTGGGTGTTCATGGAAACTTATGGTAGCTGATTTGTAAAATATTAACTGATACAGTATCTATTTATGGCTGCTTCTCTCTAGTATCTCTTTCTTCTTTCTTGTCTTTCCTATTTCTTCTTGGGCAAAGAAGGCGCCGATAGCTCCGTAGTGGAGCCTCTGCGTGGTGAGCTGAAGGTCGAGGGTTCAATTCCCCTTCATTCCAAATTCTTTGCCATTCATTTCTTTATTTATTTACCTTTATGTTGAATTAAAATTCTTGTGACAATTACAGCTCAAGCACTTGTTGGATCGATGAACGCTGGCAACTGAAAGTCAGCGGGTTTGGCTGTGCCAGTTTCCGCAGAGGGGAAAAACTTGAAAGGAAACGTGAGTTTACAATAAAGTTAAAAGCTTGATTTAAAATGGCTTAAAATGGTTTAAACCTTTTCTTTCATTTCTTTAGGCCAACTTTGGCTAGCTCCCGAACTCCTTCGAATGCCAATGATTGAGGGAACAAAAGAAGCGGATATCTACGCTTTTGCTATCATTTGCACAGAGATTGTCACTCGGAAAGAAGTCTATGATTTGTCGAATCGAGATGAGAAAACGGAAGGTTTGAAATAATGTTAAAATTTTTGAGACAATGAAATTTAGAGCTCTTGTACATGATCAAGCGAGGCGCTCAGGTGCCAGTGCGGCCAGCTTTGAATGTACACGTGGATATGGATCTGAACCCAGCTGTTGTAAGCATTTTATCAGTTATTACATGATTTTTCTATTAGGTTGCCAACTAAGTCTTGGTAACCTTTTTAAATCCCTGTCTAAGCTGATCAAATCATCAATTGACTTACGGTTTGCTGGATTTGAAAACCCGATGAAAATAACGTTGTAATATTCCTAAAAGACTTAGTTGCCAACCTAATAATAGTAAGCTGATGTCAAAATATTCTTAGCATACAAAATTTCAGCTTCACATGATCCGAGACTCCTGGGCTGAACAACCAATGGATCGTCCCAATATCACAACGATCAAACGAATTCTCAAATCAATGGTCAGTCTGACTGCCATTTGCTCCAAAACTTTCTCAGAACTAAATTCAGAACTAAATCTTACCTTACTCTAACAGTTTTTTAATAATTTAGTCTGGAGATGGACAGCAAAACTTGATGGACCACGTCTTTAGCCTAATGGAATCCTATGCGGAGACGTTAGAAAAGGAGGTAACTGAGGAATTGATCTGTAAATTACGATTAGTAAAATTTAGGTACAAGATCGAATGGTTGAGTTGGTTGAAGAGAAGAAGAAAGGAGACATGCTTCTGCAGAGAATGCTGCCAAAGTAAGGATTGATTTGGATGTTGACTTTCACTCTAAATTTTCATTGTGGGACATTTGATACGCGTCCCCGCCCACGTTGCCATTGGCAATCTAACTTTGAGCTCAAATTTCTGGATGTCGAATTCCAATTTAAATAGTTTTTATACCAATTGACAGAGAAAGACTTGGCGCATCTAATAATACCAAGAATATTTAAATTGGACATCCCAACACGAAGATATTTGAGCTCAAAGTTACTGGCAAAAGGGGCGGGGCGTGAAAGGCCTTTATACGCGCCGCCCTCTCTGCCATTGGCAATCTAACTTTGAGCTCCCATATTTTGGTGTTGGGTGGTCCAATTTTAATAGTTTTTATACCAATCGACAGAAAAAGACTTGGCCAATCTAAGGATATTCAAAATATTTAAATCGAATAGCCCAACATCAAGATATTTCCCCTCAAAGTTAGGTTGCCAATGGCAAAAGGGGCGGGACGCCTATCAAATGTCTGATAACCCTAAATTTTAGACAAGTTGCTGAAAAGTTGAAACTCGGTCAATCGGTTGAGCCCGAGTCATTTGAGAGTGTGACGATTTTCTTCTCGGATGTGGTACAGTTCACTAATCTTGCCGCCAGATGCTCACCACTTCAGGTAAAACTCAATCTACGAAATCTAGTTTCTGAATATGACTTGTAAATGGATTCTACGTTTAATCTGATGATTAAAGTGGGTTCCTCTTGATCAAACAAATTAATTGGTTAAAATTTGCTAAAATTTTAACCAATTAATTAGAAATTAGCTAAAAAAACGTTGGTGGGGGCGGGACAAATGCCACCTTTTTTTTTGCTGGAACAGGTCTTAGGAAAGGTCATAGAGCTTCGAAAATGTTTCCATACTAGGGAATCGTATGCGTAGATTCCGAATTTCGACAAATCAAAGCAAATCAGACCTCGCTGACACGTTAAATTTGAGCTAAAAAGGCAAAAACTACGCAACAACTTAACGCTTTTTCGCAGTTTTTGCCTTTTAGCCCAAATTTGACGTGTCAGCGAGGTCTGATTTGTCGAAATTCGGAATCTACGCATACGATTCCCTTTCATGAAAACATTTTTGAAGCTCTACGACCTTCCCTAAGACCCTTTCCAGCAAAAAAAAGGTGCGCAAATGTCCAGGTGCGCAAAAAAAAGGTCGCATTTGTCCCACCCCCACTTTGGTTAACGGTTGGTTAAAAGATATTCGGTCGATTGACTAAATATCTTAAATTCACTGACTTTTTCCATCGCGGAGTCTTTTTCATTCATTTTTGCAAAGGCACAAAGTAAAAGTTACATAATTTGCATGTTCTATTTGCATTTATCTATTGATTAACCAGACATTTGCCGATCAATAATCTTTTAACCAAATTATACAGAAATTTATCCAAATTTAACTCACTTATTTCCAGATCGTGGGCCTTTTGAACGATCTCTACACCACCTTTGACACGATTATTGAACAGCATCAAGTTTACAAGGTTCATAAACAATGATAATCAAAATCATTAAATTTTTCTAGGTGGAAACAATCGGTGATGGCTATCTATGTGTCTCTGGTTTGCCCTATAGAAACGGAATCCAACACGTCAAAGAAATCGCCGAGATGTCACTGGGATTTTTGGAAACTGTCAGGGTAAAAGATTTTTGAATAAAAGCTGCTCACGATAAATTTTGCATGTAATTTTAATTCTCAAGAACATTTATTAACAAGCTTTCACCATATTTCTGAAATTCAAGCTCTTCCGTATCCCGCATCTCCCCACAGAGTCAGTTAACCTCCGAATCGGGATCCATTCGGGCTCTTGTGTAGCTGGTGTTGTCGGATTAGCCATGCCACGGTGAGTTTATTAATTTCGAAAATGTTATTGAAATCTGTTTAGTTATTGTCTCTTTGGTGACACGGTGAATACGGCTTCTAGAATGGAAAGCAATGGAAAACGTAAATCCCTTGAAATTTTAGAATGACCAGAAATTTTTTTTCATTCCTTTTCTCAGTTCCATTGAACCAATTCATCAATAAAAGGTGTTTATTTTTCAATTTCCCATCTTTTTAAGCCAATTTTGGTTCACTTTCAAGCAAATTCGAAAGTGAAAAGCGTGTTTTTCGCAAAAACTTTTCTACTAAGCCTTTCTAATGAAAAAAAAACCGTAGCCCAATTGATGCATTTGTTGGTTTTAAACGAAAGGACGAAAAGAACCGAAAAAGACTTTTGGACAGCCTATGATTACATCAATTTCAGCTGGAAAGATTCACATGTCGGTTGATGCAATGGTGTTGTTGAAACGAATTGGTGGTTATGATATGGAATCGAGGGGAGAAGTGATCATCAAGGTAAAGGAAATCCTGAAACCCAGTCAGAAACTAAAAGACTTTTGCCTTAAAATCGAATATCATGATCGCTTCAACTTCGACAGAAACTTGACTCCAGCTCCAACTCCGACACTCAGATAAACAACTTTTAGGGCAAAGGTGTGATGGAAACATTTTGGTTAAATGGTCGAGGCTATTCACGAGTCAGCCAACACATTGAAAGCGTCACAGCAAGAATTGATGATGTCAAGACGAAAAGTCAAAATCGTTTTGTCCCCAGAGTCAATCAGACTCCACCAGTTGATCGTGTTGAACAAGTTCCACAATCAAGTAGTGACAGTTTGGATTTTCATGATTAACTACGTTCTTTCTTTACTGAATGTGATTGCTATGAAATAATGCATTTAATTAAGTTTGAAAATTGAATTTTTCCCAAATGCTTGCCGTAAACGCTTATTGCCGATCATTTTTTAGTTTTTAACTTAGTAAACTATGGCTACTGCTTTTTTAAACGAGATCCGGTTAGAAGAAAGATTTTTAAACTAAATAAATCAGATTTTTAGCTGCAAAGTGTTTTTGCATGATCTGTTTAAGCGATCAATGTTGTTTAACTCATACTCTAAAACGAAGCAATCTTTTAACAATGATGACACAAGCTAATTTCTTTATGATTTGCCGTAAACGTTTATTGTCAATCGATCTTCTTTGTTGTAAATTTCCAGTATCGATACTTGCAAAGGAAATATTCTTTGTCGCCTTTTCTGTAGGATTACCAGGCAGAACCTTTACGCTTCCACGAAAGTAAAATATTAACGCTCAACAATCTTTTTGGTAGTTTGGGCTGAAGTTTTCGAACCTGAGCTCCTGAGTTGTCACCAGGAGAACTGTCAGCGAGGCCAACGAGGTGAAATTCATGAATTTTTCATTGGTCCACATCCATCTGCCATATTTTCGCTTAAAAAATGGTTTTAGCAAAACTAAAGATGTTCACGGTGCATTTTTGAACTAATTTGTTATGCACAATTTTTAAAAAATGTCAACACGATATTAACGAGTTTACAAACTAGCCCAACTTACGACCCTTCGGCAACCACCACTACCAGGGCATACACCAGGAAATCTTCCCATTCCACTCACGAAGCACTGAATTTCTTGGTACTCCAGTCTTGAAATATTGTTCTCAATAAAATTGGTATCGCATCGCATTGTTCTCTCAGTTTGGCTGCTGTTCAAGCAACACGAGTAACACATAACAGAATGTACAGGGTGCGCCATAATTGTCGCAACAAGGAATCACGCGCGGTAACAAGGTTCTTCTAAAAGGATGAACTCTTGCTCTGGGCTCGTAAACATTTATTATTTCGAAAATTTGATACAGAACATCTAAAATCGTTGTGATTTCAAATTCTGTTTGTATTTCTCGAAAATTATTATTTAAAGGCCAGCAAAAAATCAAAAATGTGCAACCTTTGCAAAATAATGCAAACAAAGGGTCATTATATTTTTGACTGGATTGGGTCAACAATGGGTCATTGACATTGATTATCATTAGGGTGGTGAGAATGAAACCAGCGCTCACATATCTTTCCAAGATTAAAAGCTTCAACCAATACTTGGTCTAGACTGTTCGAAAGTCCTGAATAACCTCTACAAAATAGTGCAAAGGATTTTGAATTGAATTGATTATTGAAGACTTGGGTGACTTTTTAAGTTGAGGGTCACAAATGATCATTTTCTGGAAAATGTGTTTCTGGTAATAGCCATGCCCGGGTTTTCCGTGAGGAAATACCGCTAACTAAAGTTATATGAAAATTACATAAAAGAACTCTTTTTGTTTGTTCGTCTTCTAAAGCTTATGATTTTCGAAAAAGCTTGATTTTGGACAATTTTAGGCCAACATCATCTCTGTTACTTAAGCCCGTTTACTCGTTTGGTTTCCTGAGTTTCTTGCTGCCCCTACGGACCGAAATCCTTGGGATGAATCAAAAATTCACAGCGGCTCCCTTCAGCACCCTTTTACAGGCACTTGGGATCCCATTCCGACCGACGGAGAACCCGCCATAGTGGTCAAAATGAGCCGGAACTGGGTTGACCAGTTCTACAACCGAAGTTAATTTTGGGAAGCGGTGACCACATGGGGCAGACAACGGATTGGTTACCGGATGACCCAGAATGGACGCTTCCGATTTGAAAAGTGAAAAGGAACTATATGAGCAGGCGTGCTATGCCAGATCGAGCGTGATTGTGCTCACACACAGGAAACACACCGCGATCTTCTTTTTTGCATTTTAAAGTTCAAAAACTTCAAATTTTTGAACAGAAAAATTGTACCCAGGGTTTTCGGGGTTGAGGAATCGATTCACAGCGTTAGTTTTGATGTTTTTCTTGTCCGAAATCAAGGATTTCATTACATTTCCTATTGAAGGATGGTTCTAACTTTTCAAGCAATATCCCATCTCTTCTTTGTAGCTTATGTTTTCCAATTTAAACTTTTCAAACACCTCTTGAAAACAAAACTAAACAACAGCTTTTCCAAGAGCTTTTTTCGTGAATCGAATTTCTCAAATCTTACATCTTATATTAGGTTGAACACTCTCGGTAACAGTTCTTCTTTCCACTTTTTAGAAACAACCAATGTACTAATTAAATTGGGGTTTTCTTTATTCAAAAGTCTTTTCGGCTCTCTAAAAGTAGTTTGCCAATTGAAAAAAGCTTCGTTTTTGGGGTTTTTTTAGAGGTCAAGAAGTTGAGGAAATGAAAATGAAGGAAGCTAGATAGTGCGATTGGACCACTTTCTTCCACAGAAACCTATTTCGATGTTTATAAATAAAAGATAGAGCATAAAAAGTTAGGTGAGTATTCAAATTTTCAGACTAATCTGTTCAGCCGTTTTCCCTGTATGTCATTTTTAAGGATTTCTGAAAAGATGCGGATTCCGCGCAAATGCGCTTCAAGGTGGGCCAAGTTTTGTTTAAAAAGGATAGGAAACTAGAAAATAAAGAACTTTTTTTCAAAGGGATTGTGAGTGAGTCAGTGTATTGTCTACTTTTCAAAGAAAATATGCTTTGCTATCACCAAGACAGTGTTCAACCTAATAGCTTTAAAGGGGGATGATCTGTAGGGCTGGATCTCCTGATAAAAAAAAAAAATAAAAGTCTGATAGAATTTTAAATTAAATGTAGAAGCCAGTTAGCATGATAGATTTAAACTTCCCCCATCTGTGACACCCAGTTTGAAGTTAGATTTTTATGAAAGGTTTTCACAAAAAAGTTACAGAGTCCAAAACATTGGAAGCGCCTATTAAAATTTGACTTGGCTCTATTTCTTTACTATCATAAAAAGCCAACAATCTCAACGCGTTAATGCAAATATCCAAGTCTATTTAAGTGTTTTTTAAAAGTTTAGAGTGACAAGAAGCAGTTAGTAAAGAAATACAGCCAAATCTAATTTTTACAGGCTTATCCAATGTTTTGGGCTCTGTAACTTTTTTATGAAAACTTTTTATAAAAATCTAACTTTAAATTCGGATTTTTCAGATAGTTTTACCTACTGGGCAACTTTCGGGGCCAGGATTCATTTTCTTAATATCAATTTCAGACCTCCAAAGTTGGCCAATTTGCACTGAAAATTGGGGTGGGTGGAAAACTTTTGTCCGCTACAATAGCTATCGAACTTTCCTGAAATCACTGTTGGAAGCGTGGGAAGAGCTCGATCCAGCCTATTTGGTAGATCCAGCCCACCGTTGACGCCTTCTCGAAACGCCTGCAAGCCTGCTCAAATCCTAATGGTGGCCGATTCAAATTTGATAGTTGATTTATAATTGTTAATGTACAATAAATGTAATTCAGTTAAAAATGAGCCTTTTTTTGTTCGTGTCTACCTTAGAATCAGAACTTTATCTTGTTGCGACAATTATGGCGCACCCTGTATATCGTGCTGCTTTTTATCGGTTCTTTTCGTCTTTATGTGTATGAATTCATGTATATTAATCTTAAATCTTGCACACTTTATTTCATGTCTTGAATAAAGTATCTATCTATTTTGTTTGACTGAAGAAACAATGAAGAATTCAAACAGGGTTTCACTTGAGTTTTCAGTTGTTTTGTTGTTGACTTTGGATATATTTATTTGCGAGAAATGATTTGAGGGCTTCATTTTAGGGGCATTCATCAAAGCAGGCGCCACACTGAAACATTATTTTTCAGTTAACTAGAATTTCACTTACTTTGGCAATTTTACAAGGGGTGCATCGATTGGAAGTGTGCAACAAGTCTGAAATGTTTGGTAAGCTAAAACTTTGAAAACTTTATCCTTTTGCCTTCAATGAATGATTGGTTTTTTAAATAAGCAAATTTCTGCCGATGCATGAACTGGCCAGGATTCTGGCAACAATAGGTTTTTATATCTGATTTTTCATGCTAAGTGACTTTTGAAAGCTTTAGCCACGTTATAGCTATTGTTAATTTAAAAAAGACAAACTTGTCCATCAGAACATTGATCATCGGTGATACAAGCGTGCGTGGGAGCACCAGTTTGAAACACTCTAAACAGAATAACAAATAATTGACTCACTTTGGCATAAAACAAACTCACCGAGAATCCAAAAAGAACCATTGAGAAGAAGAAAACGAAGAAAAAGACCAAAACGCATGTTTTTAATTGATTTCGGTGTATGCTTACCGCTGATTTAACTCAAATTCACTTTGCTTTTATACTCAATGAAAGCTTTGAAATCACTTTTATCAACATTCTTTAGAAAGCAGAAGCTCATGCTAAACAGAAAATATTTTTTAATATTCTAGCTTTTTAAAATACGTAAAAAATATGAAAAAAACACAGGATGATGACAAAAATATTTTCAAATTTATTCATTAAATCTTTAAAGTATTTTTGAGAGGATATTTTATTGTTTTGTCTTTTGTTCCCATTCAACTTCCCAATCCATTCAAACTCATTCATAATCCGAAAAATTTTTCTATTAGTATAAAGATTTCCTTTTCAATATACATCTGAATGTGTGCACTTTAAAATGAAATTGGATATAAAATGAAGTGATTTTTTGAGGTAACCATTCCGTAAAGCAACAAAAATGCGTTTTGGACTTTTCTTCGTCCTTTTCTTCACAATTGCCTTTGGATTATCTGTAAATTAGTTTTAAACAATATTTAGAAAACAAATCTCTGTATTATTCAATTTCAGACTGCTCTTTCAGTAATTTCAGACTTTTTAATTTTCAGGACTATTCTTAAACTAACTGAATCATTGTTTAGATTCATTGTTGGATCTGGAGCGACCGGATGAGAGTTACTCCAAGAACCTTGCAATGATGGATGTCGCTTTTGGAAAAAATCGTTGGTATTAGGCTGTCCAGAAAGTCTTTTGTTTCTTTTCACTGAAAAATCGTAAAGTTTGTAGAACTTTAACATTTAGATAATGTATTTATAGGTTATTAAGCTGTCCAGAAAGTCTTTTCGTTCCAGAAAGTCTTTTCGTTCTCTGTTCCTTTTCGTTCAAAATAACAAATTCACCAATTAATCTATGATTTGATCTAAATAAAGGTGGACTTCATTGTGTACTAAAAGCTCGCGATAATGTGGAAGCGAGAAGATATGTGGATCAACAATGTGTCTTCTATGGACTCCCGCCTCCCGCTATTGGAATCTGGAACTCTTGGAACAAAGGGGGAATGTGCAAGTGGTCTATCCTCATCTCACCGAAGTCTTACTCGTAAGTGTAACAATTGAAAAATTAGCAGTGAATATAAAATGTGTTGTTTTTTAGAATGACTGGAAAATCCCCCATCGACAATCGATCATCAAATTGCACAAGCGAGGAGCCCCGGCGCCGGAGATTCATAAGCGTCTTAAAGTCGGCAGAAGTGTCATTTTCCGCACTATTCAACGCCACGAAGCTACAGGAACAACTGCTGATGCAGCAAGAAGCGGTAGACGCCCAAATGCTGTTACAAAGACAAACCTCAAGCCGTGAGGGGCATCAAGTGAGGGACCGATTACAGAAGAAGCCAAACCAGTCGGCAAACAAAATGGCAAAGAAGATGGCGATTTCAAGCACCTCATTGCGTCGGATCCTCGTCGGAAAATAAGCTCAAACTTACTCCTTACAAGAAAAACAAGGCTAAATTTCTTTGGGGTGCCCCAAAAAAACAAGAGGAAATTGAGAGCAGATCAATTATTGATTTAGCCTTGTTTTGATATTATTCAATGGAATCGAACATCACAATATCTTGTTTGAGATGAAAGATATTTTCCAGCGTGGTCGGTTCTAGAGGCCAAGCTATTCAAAGCCCTACAAAAACACCGAAACTTTGGAAGAAATCACTGTTGAAGGGTGGGAAGAGCTCTATCCAGCCTATTTGATCGCCACCGTTGACGCCTTCCCGAAACGCCTGCGAGTCTGCTCAAATGCTTAATCAAAAAATTAATCAAAGCAAGTCGAAATTCTAAGTGATGGAAGGTGCAAAACTACTGCCGGAAACTGTCGGCAAACTACTGCGGAAAATGGGGTGAGCCTTGCAGGTGGGCTTTTGTGAGAAAAGTACCAAAAAAGCTTTGATAATAAATGAAAAAAGCAAACAAAACGCGAAAAAAACGAGTTGAGTTCAATGTTTTGGTTTTGGTGCTCAAGGCTGAACGGCCAAAATTGAATCTGGTTCAGGTCGTGATGTTAAAGTTCATTTTGTGGTTTCAATAGAGAATCGATTCCTTTTTCTCGAGGTGGACCGGGATCAAGCGCCGGGCAATAAAGAGATTTCAAAATCCAGATATTAGCAAAATTTTCCAATTTTGCATGGCTGAATGAAAGGATTCGCGAGGGCGTGAACTTGAACCTAAAGCTGTTGGCGAAGGATCCAAAAACTATAGGGGAACAGGGTAGAAAAGAACGAGACTGAACTCCTCAATAACCCCCAATATAAAAGCAGTAGTTAAAGCTGTGAAAAGCACATTCATTGGCCGCATCCAGCGGCAACAATGAGATCCGTTCTCGGACTGCTTCCTCTGTGTTTCAGGTACATTTTGGTTTTGAATAATTTTACTCAATTAGCCGCAAGAGTTTAGTCAATTAGATTTAAATATTTTATATTCTATATCCCAGCATATCTAAATTAACGTTAAAACTTTAAAATTTCACCTTTTTAGCCGCCTCAGCTCAAGCCGCCATGGCATTTGCTGCAGCCGACCAAACAACCATTGTCAATGTACGTAGTTTTCCTTTAAAATTGAAATTTTTATATTCTAACGGCTTTTATATCTATATTTTATATTTTATATTTAAAATTTTTATAAAAAACCTTCTGAAATCAACAGCTTTTAGACAATGAACAGTCTGCGGTCACGGATGGCGAAAGGAACGGAGAAATGGGTTGGGAAAGGAAGAAACTATCCACAATCGATTCAGAACTTATCAATTGGTTGGTGGATTAGCAAAATTTAAATCAAATTAAATATTGTTTATTCAAGTTAACATCAAATTCTTTCTAAATTTCAGTCATAGACCGCTGGATTTGTCACAGCTTCTAAGGATCGTCTCAATTTGTTGGATCCTAGTCAGCCGTGGGTAAAAAACCACATAGCTATAGCGATTTAACTGTGAAATTTGTTAACACATTATTCATTTCAGATTGAGTGCCCAAAGTGATATGTTGAAGGCCTCCGATGTTCCGTTTCATCAAGGCGAGAGCCATTACGGTATCTATAGCACCAGCTCGAGCGCGAAGACGACCGCTCAAATGTGTGAGGGATAGTTTACTCCGTCCTTAAATCAGTGCTTTCTAGTAAACTCTTATTTTATACCTAAAAATGCCCACTAATTCAAACCCCATTTCCGAGTTGGTACCGCGTGGAATACCGCCTGAGTACAATTTCATCAAAAATCCGGTCTCCCTGGCCCGGGTCTCGTTACAATTCAACTGGCATGTTCCAAGACAAGAATAAAAACTTTGCTTATCAGGTGATCAAAGTTTCCAAGCTTGCTAGAACCAAAACTTTAGAGAAAAGTATTTTTCCAGATTGCCGCCGGGCGAACTCCGGACTATCGGTTGTGCGTATCGCAATTTCACAACTGGAGCCGCTGCTGGGACTATTCGCTGTGCTTTGTCGTTACAATGCTAGGTTTGTTTTGATAGAACTGAAAAGATTTTTTCGTTCAGGCTACAGAGTTAACACGGAAATTTGGCCTCAAGTATATTAGATTACAAGGGTTTTCTGGAAAGCTAAAATGAACCAACAAGAGTACTTGAAAAACCGACACTATGGATTGAAGTTTATAGAACGACCTAATTTCCTTTGGCTTTAAGGGTCTCTTCGACGGTAACGCCTATTTACCCGGAAGGTGTCACTTGTAGTGGATGGATGCCAAAGGGAATCCACCAGCTACAGTATATGTAACTGCCACTGGTCTTTGTGCCTAAATTCTTAAAGTTAAATATTAGGTTGATGCAAAAGTCTTTTCATTTTTTCGTACTTCTGTTAAAAAGTAACAAATTCACCAATTAATCTATAGTTTGCTCTATAAAAGAAGTGTTTTTTGTTCAATTTGCATCTTTTTAAATCAATTTCGGTTGACTTTCAAAGCAAATTCGAGGTGAAAAAACGCCTTTTTCGTAAAAATCTATAAAAACTCTACGGAAAAATTGGCTGAATGAATTTCTCTGAAATTTTGGCGAAATATCAAACTTTTTTTTCTCTATCTTTTATCTATTGACACGAAGATAGGTTTTCTTTAGCTAAGGTGTCTAAACCGCATCATCGAGTTAGCCCTTTTTGACTACCCGACTTCCATACTCTCAAGAAAATCCAGGCATAAAATATTTTTAAACCCCGTTTTAATGTTATTTTTGCAGAAAAATAGTGGTTTTTCTATTGAAATCAACCGTAGTTTAATTGGTGCATTTGTTGGCTTGAAACGGCAGACGAAAAAAAAAAGACTTTTGCATCAACCTAGTAGTTATGATTTCGTTGATAAATTTTGATTTTCGTGTCAATGTTGATGCGCTACGAGAAAAAACAAATTCACAAAAATCAAATTGTCGATTAACGAGATTCAGTTCTGTGTGAGCGATCAGTTTTGAGTATAAGGAATTTTCTGCAAAAACTATCCAGGAATTTGATTTCTGGGAAAAGATTAATGCAAAACTCATTGAATTTCAGTATTTGCGAGGGAATACGCTTCTAGAAAGTTGAATTTTCGGATGTGTTCTCCTATTAGATTGAAAAAATAAATTGAAAATAACATTTAATATGAAAGTACTAGATGAAAAAGATTGAAAACAGTATGCGCTTTACTTTAAAACGGTCTGTTTACTCGAACTTTTTCCGTTTACTCGTTTTCGGTATTTGGCGAAAGAGAGGCGGAAGGCATCTCGTGTCGAAAAGCTTCTAATGATCCGGGCGGTGAGGATAAAGGCATCGAACTCTTTTCTCACTGATGACCTGAATGTCTTCCATGATTCTTATCAGCTCAATTATATTCCCGTTTGCCAATTTGATCATGAACACTTTCTTTGGCTTCAATTTCCGACTACCCGACGATCTCTATGGCAAAGCTATTCTTGAATTTTCTCTTCTATTTCATAACCAGTTTCATTTCAACAATTTCTATGTAGGTTTCAAATCCAGTGTGCTTTTCTATTCTTTTTCTAAAAACAAAAAAAAGGAGGGGCAAGATACGAAGAAATCACTATAGCAAATAAAATCAGTAAAGGATAAGAGGAATAAAAGTTGATCTATCATATTTCAAAATTTTAATTTTTCTTTATAATAAACTCTTTTTTAAAAAAATTTTAAGCTTATAAATTTATTACAATTTTTAGTGTATAGTTTCCTCCTTTTCAATAAATTTTATACAAGATTTTGCATGTGTAAATAACAGTACTTTTGTTTAAAATCCTTAATGACTAAGTTTTCCCATCAAATTAACGATCCCATCTTTTATAATGATTCTTAATCCGGTCTCAATGGCTCATCTGGGTGATACTCTTTAAAACTGGGATGGCCATTCTCTGAATGATATTGATCAAAGAGTTCGGTCGAGCCTCGGCAAGCTTCTCTGGATGAAGTATTGATCAAAGTTCGGTCGAGCCTCGGCAAGCTTCTCTGGATGATATTGATCAAAGTTCGGTCGGGCCTCGGCAAAGCTTCTCTGGATGATATTGATCAAAGTTCGGTCGGGCCTCGGCAAGCTTCTCTGGATGATATTGATCAAAGTTCGGTCGGGCCTCGGCAAGCTTCTCTGGATGATATTGATCAAAGTTCGGTCGAGCCTCGGCAAGCTTCTCTGGATGATATTGATCAAAGTTCGGTCGGGCCTCGGCAAGCTTCTCTGGATGATATTGATCAAAGTTCGGTCGGGCCTCGGCAAGCTTCTCTGGATGATATTGATCAAAGTTCGGTCGGGCCTCGGCAAGACTTCTCTGG